CGCCCCCTCCCCAAGATGTTTTGGTTACCGCGTCTGCCCAGCCCCCATCCAGGCCGATTCTGTCTTCATCAGAGATGGCCCCGCTTCTCAGGTATGGTTCCTCCCTTCGGCCCTATCCTCTTTCCAATCTAGCTCCCCTGGGCCTCCGCCCACCGATGCCAGTCCCTCAGCCGACTGACCACCGCCACACAAGGATGGTCCAGCCCTTTGCCCAATCCAGGTCCTCCTCTGTCCAGGCTCGGCCCAGTCCTGCGGCATGGACACACCCCTCGCCTTGGCCCCGCCCCTCACCTGTGGTCACGCCCCCGACCCGTGGCCACACCTCCTCTAGTCTGGGCCACACCCACCACCTGTCTCACCCAGGTGTCCAGGCAGTGGGGAGTGGGGTCGCGGCAGCGTGGGCGAAGTGCTGGTCAGGATGAGGCTTTTCCGGTTACTGGTGCGGCAGCTGCGGGGAAGGCGAGGCAAGGGGACCAGGCCAGGCCACAGCCCAGTGAGTTTGTGAACCCAACCAGCCACCTTCCCGTCTCAGATCTCCACCTGTCTCCTATCTGTGTGTGCTTGAAGGTGCCCCCAGAGGATTGCTCGGAGGAGGAGGTGATAGAGATCTCAGCATGTGTGACCATGTGGGCACAGTTTCAGTCATAAAATAATAGACATGCTGTCTATGTGACACTACTGAGATACTGAATGTATGTGTGTGTTTGGGGGGGCTGTGCATGACATTCTGTGTGTATCCACATGTGGTACCCAGTGTGTGAGCTCAGCCCTGAGTTGGATTTATCCTATGATACAACCTGTACTTCTGTGTGTCTGTGTGACACAGTGTGTAACATCACTTGTCCATGACTAGATGTGCCACTGTGTGCTGTACCATGTGCGTGCATGATTTCTGCTACAAGTGTCCATGTCTTTGTGCGGCATTCTAAGTCTATGCGATATACTGCCCTTGTGTGTGTGTGACATTCACCATGTGTATCCACGTGTGTCATCTACTGTGTATGAGTTTCACACCCTGTGATACTGAGCATGTTTGAACCTGCCACCATGTGTGACATTCCCTAGATGAGTCTTCCATGTGATAACGTGGGATAGTGTGTCTCTCCATCTCTGCAAGATTTCCTGTGTCATTTATTCTGGCATCCATGTAACACTGCATGTGAAACGCTTAGATGCTATCATGTGCTGTGACATTGTTGGGTGGATGGATGTCATTGCCATACATGTGTCTCTGTGCATCTTGGATGCCAGAATCGTGTGTGTGTGTGTGCGTGTGTGTGTGTATCACCATGCATGTGACATCTTACTGGGGGCACACAACACTGTACCTATGTGTGTCGCTGGGGGTGCCCCTGTGTGTCTGGGCATGACTCGGACCTATGGCCACTGTATGCGTGATGGCTTCAGGGTGTATCTGGGCCACTGGGGCTGTAGTGTGTGTATGTGTGTGACATCATGTCCTACGTGACGCTGTGTGTCACTATTTTCCGTATGAAGCTGTGTTCTTGGTGGGGGTAGTTTGTGCTATGATAAAGCCCCCCTATCCTGCCCCTCAGGATCCCAGCTTCTGAAGAGGGAGCCCTCAGCCCCTCCATTCCCCTCACCCCCCACCACAGTGACTGAGCATATTAGCGAGGCCAGAAACACGCGGCATGGGGGCGGGGGGGAGGCCAGGCTGCGGCTATTGTTCCGAGGGTGCAAAGTCCCCCACCCTCCCCTTCTTCCCCTACCCCCACTGGGTTGCCGGAGCCCGCAGCGCCAGCAGACAAAGGCGCCGCAACCCCCCACCCGGCGCAGCCTCCTCCCCCCCTCCCTGTGGCGGTCCTCTCCGGCGTCCAGTCCCCCCAGTCTCGGCCCACACAGTCCCCAATGCAACCCCATCCCCCGCAGAAGGGCTCAGCACGGACACCTCTGGCGCAGCTGGACCGGGTGCAGCATCCCGGGCCCCGCCCTGCGGCAGCGGCCGGAGGGGCGGCTTAAGTGGGGAGGGCCGGGTCAGGGTCTCAGGGATGGGGTTCTACCTCTTGGTGCGGCGGAACATACTGCCGCCAGGGAAGGAGGGCATCGAGAAATTGGAAAGCGCGGTCCAGAGAGAGTCAGACATGACCCGGCGGCGGCGACATGGTGGCAGGTGCGGCAGTGGCGGCGGCAGCGCGGGGAGCGAGCGCGCGGGGCGGAGGCTGGAGCCGCAGCGGGCAGGGGAGGGCGGGGGAAGGGAGGGCCGTGCCACTGCGGCCCGCCGGGAGGGGGCGCTGCTGTGCACCAGCGCGCCAGGCCCCGCCCGCGCGTGCCCCTGGCGCCCCCACCCTGGCTCGAGAAGGGACGGCCAGCCCTGCACATCTCTCCCCAAGGCTCACCTGCTGCTTTTCCGGGGCAGAGGCAAATCCTTCTGGAAGGCAAAGGGGCGAAAGGATAGAGGTCAGCGTGGACCAACAGCTGCTGTCTGCAAGCCCTCTCACCCCTGGAGGAGCAAAAGTTGGGTGGGACAAACCCGTCATAAGCATCCTCAGCTGCACCCTTCTCGTTATGCCGGGAGGGCTGGGATCTTTGAGAGAGAGGGTACCAGGGTGATTTCTCTCCCAACCCCAGACCAGTACAGAGTCCCCTATAGGACTCCTGAGTTGACATTTCAATGTGCATTTGTACAAATTAAACAAGAGCCTCTTTGAAACAATGTTTCTTGAGCACCTCTTGTATGCCAGGCCCTGTGCTAGGCACTGGGGATACAGCAGTGAATGAGAGAAAAATTCCTTCCCTTTTGGGACTAACATTTAGAGAAGGGAAGCAGACAATAAACAAGACTAATATAGAAGTGAACGAGATAATTTTAGGCATTCATAAGTGTCATGAATAAAATTAAGGTGATGTGATGGAAAATGGATAAGAGAAGGACAGGATGCTCAGAGGACTGCTCCCGGGAAGGTGACTTTTAAGACAGTCGTTGAAAAAATAAGAGCCTGCCATGGAAGGATCTGTAGAGGGAACTGCAAAGGTCTGGAGACAGGAATCAACGTGCTATGCTCAAGCATGAGAGGCTGAATGAATGAATGAATGACTCCACATCGCAAGGATTCTACCCAAACCCCAACCAGATTTGGTGTTGGGGGCAGGGTAGTTAGGGTGGCTCAAAACCAAAATTGGAAATGGGAATTAGAGGATCGCCAAGTGGTCTTTTTGACCATGGTGATGATAATAATTGATAAATATCAACATTATATGTCCACACCAGAAGAAGGTTATGTTCTGTTTGTCAAGCATTCAGGAAGCCACTAAGGGGATCAGAAGTTATGGAAGTCGTGAGAACAGTGGGGAGAGGGAGTACCACCTCCCAGTCAGTTCTGTGTCCACAGACCAAAGTGAATAAAGGAGGTTGGGTGGGGCTGCAGACGGAAAGATTCTAGTGAGGGTTTCAAAAGCCTTTTGGTGGGGACTCCAACCAGGGGAAAATGCGGAACGTTTAAAGATCCTTTCTAGGATCTCTGAAAGCAGAAAGCCCTCGGTTCAAATCCCAGCGTTGCCTCTTATAACCTTGGCCAATAACCTTACAACAGTCCATTACTCCTAAAGGATTCTGTGAGATAATTCAGGTGCCTAGCACCTTAGCATGATGCCTGGTACATAGTCAACATTCAATAAATATTAGGCCATAGGAACAGGAGTTGTTGTAAATGGACACGGAGGATGGGCCAAAGGGAACTCCCACTCCCATGTACAGTATGATTGGGGTCAAAGAGAACACAGTCCAGACCGCAGCCCTGCCCTCCTGAGCCACGGGTGACCGGAAATCCATTCCAGGTTTTCCCACTGTTTTTGCAGGATCAGTTTGAATGAGCATCAGCTGGAACCAGCCGACTGGGCTGGACGACCGCAACGGCCCAAGCGAAATCCAGACCTGGATTTCCCGCCCACGGAGCCCAGGATTCCAGATCCGGATATACTCAGCCTTCGAGGGTGAGCCCTTTGGAGACCTTTAAACACCTCCCGGAGAAGTCCTCAAACCTAGCCCCATTCGCTAGCGCCCCTAAACATTCTAGAGTCTAAGAAAAGGACAGACTGGAGCGGTAGAGGACTTGGATCCTCGGCGTCAGAGTAAACAGACACCACCTCCGTCACTAACTGCAGAGCGGCTCCAGGATTGATGGACGGCGCTGTGGACAGGGCTTTCGAACTCGGGATGCTGTTCATATATACGATCCCAGCTGCCACACAGTTGGGGGCCTTCGGGCGCTCCACGGCTGTGGGATAGCTCCCTAAGGGGTTGCATCAGTGTGTGACTACATCCAAGGCAGCGAAGTGGTTAACTCTGCCAGAAGGGAAGAGGTAGGGGGCAGGACTCTGGCGGGGTAGCCGAGCCCAGAGGACGCCTCAGGAAGGAAGGGTGGGTGAGTGGGAGGATCCCAGGCTGGGGCGGGGTCTTGAGCAAAAGACGGAAGGCCCGCGTGGCGCTGAGCCAATGGGAATCGGCGCCGTCCCGGAGGGCGGGAACACACCCCCTTGTAGGCCCCGCCCCTTCCCACCCTTTTCTCGGGGACCCGACGGCGCGGACCCAGTCTGGCTGCTTCAGCCCCTGCTCAGGCTTTGCCGCTGCTCCTTCCCTTTTCTCAGAACCCCTTGTCCCACCCCAGCACTAAGATGGGGTGGAAATTCGGGGAAGATTTCGAGAGCCCAAGGCACTTAGATGGAGCCATCTGTGTTGTGTCTGAAAGCAAATTAGCTTTCCAGCCCAGGTCTGGCTCCAACATCATCCAGATTACCTGGGAAGTCCTTCCTATCATCTGACTCCGATATTTCCTGCTGCAATGACTGATCAGCTCACCTTGGTCTCCAACCTCAGGGATAGTGTGGGTTAGAGGAGTCCTGAAATGAACGAGGCCCTGAGTGAGGGTTTGAATCCTCCCCTTCTTTTTCCAAGTACCAGGCTAGGTATGTAGCCTGAGTCTAGGGCCATCTAGGCTTTATCTGAACTCCTCCAGATTGTGTATGGTGGGCCTGGGCTCCAAGTAGCCTCACAAAGACCAGACCCCAGGCAGGCCTTGGGGTGAAGCTTTGACTAGCTTCCTGGGACCAGTTTAGGAGCAACATCGGACCTTCACCTTAACCCTTAGAAGCGCACGTGGAAGGTAGTAGAAGAGGACCCTTCTCAGCTTCAGAATCCCCACCCATCTTGAAAGCGGGAGTTCCTGATGCCTGGATTTCCCCACACTCCACAATCCTCAGTGTCCCACTCTGTGCAGTGGACTCACTCCCGCGCCTGCGCAGCCTGGAGACCAGTATCTTCTAAGGCTGCAAGGAGCTAAAAATCGCTCCCGCCCACCCACAAGCTGGGCTGGACTTGAGGATCTGGCGGGGGGGGGGGGGGGTAGTGAAAGGAGGGGGAACGAAGAGTGAGGAGGGAGGCTGTCTAGGGTGTCTGTCCAATTAGGGCAGTAGGAAGAATCCTGGTGGCCGGGCAGAAGCATGGAGGTCGCAGGGGCTGCTCTCGCCTCAGAAAGGGGTTCCTGGGGTGTGAGGGGCGAGGCTGCAGCATAAACATGTTTACGGCCTCTGCGGCGCCGGCGGCCCCGAGGGGCGCGAGCCCTGGGGCAATAACTTTGCTCTGCGCCCCCTCACCCCCAGCCTGGCTCCGCGCCAGGGCGATGACTTCGGTCCCAGCCCCCTCCCCCTCCGGCGGGCCAGGTGCCCCTCGGCGATCCTCGAGGGGGAGCGCTAGGCGGCTCCCCCTCCGTCAGCTCCCTGGATCCCCGGGCGGCGCCTGAGGGGCGGGGTCGCCAGCGCGGCGGGACGCGCGGCTACCGCGTTCCCCTCCGGTAGCGTCCCGAGGCCGTGGGAGGGGGCGCCCTGGCCGGCCCGGGCGCAAGTTCTCCCGCCCCCTGCCGGGCCCCTCCTCAGGGCGCCGACCCCTTCCCCGCCACCCGGGACCGGGGCCGCCGCGTACCTGCAGCCTCCGGCGGCGGATCAGGCCCGAATCGTCCATGGCGGCGGCGGCTTCGGCCCCGGGGAGGGAGGAGGGAGGTGGCGGCGGCGGCGGCGGCGGGAGGAGGGAAGAGGGAGGGAGTGAGAAGCCGCGGGGACCGCGGCGGCGGCGGCGGCGGCGGCGGCGGGTGGGGGGGTGGGGGGTGGCGGGGGCGGAGCAAAGTGGGGCGGACCCGGCGCCGTCACTGCGTCGGGGCGCCCAAGCCCTGCCTCGGCCAAGGCTGCCCTAGCCGCGGGGTGGGAGGGGGCAAGCCGGGGAGGAGCTTCCCTCTGCCCCCATGGGAGCCACGCTACGGAGAGACCCCTGTAAGGAGAGACACCCCAGGGGAGAAGAGACATGCCCATGGGTAGACCTCCAACCCCAGAAACACCCAAGGGAGACATTCTTGCTAAGATAAATTCCTTATGCGGATATCCCCCCCTTCCTGCAGCGACACCCCTCAGGGAGACACATTCCCACGGGTTGGATAGTCTCCACCGGGAGGCCCTCTGCAATCAGAAACTCCCCCTTCACCCTGAAAATCATTCCTAAAACAGATGATCTCTGAGAGGTAACGCTTCCTCTCAAAAGCCCCCTGCCACCCCCAAGAAGAGACACTTCCGAAGAGAAAAACCTCCACGGGTGACATTTCACGTGGGAAGCCTGGTGAAGATGCCCCCAGTGGAAGACCCCCCTAAAATATTCTCTGTGGGAAATTGTTTCCACCCATGAGACCCCCACATCCTAAGGAGATACATTCTTACATACTGACATTTACATTGAGGACACCCATCCTCACGGGAGATGCTCCCACAGAAAAACATTTTGTATGCATATACCGCCCCCCTTCCCAACCAGAGCCTCTTCGGAGAACCCTGCAACCCCTCTAACGACCCCCCCCCATCAGGATTAAGTAGTCAGGCCAGGCCGGACTGTATTTATAGGAGAGATTAGCTGGTAGTTTGGGAGGGGGGCAGCTGAAGCGATTTTCACACATACCCCCCTGCAGTGTTCCTACAGCTGAGACCAAGCCGACCATGCTTCCCAGAGTTGGTGTGGAAAGCATCGGCGACCTCCCTACTCCAAGTCTAGGCGACGGAGGACAGGGTGGGGAGAGGGCTTCCCAAGGGTCTCTGCCTCCAGCTGGCCAGGAAAGCCCTGGAGGGCGCGGTCACTGGGCTGGAGCGACCCCTGCTGGCCAATGAGGGCGACGGCGAGGTCTAGGTCCAGGTGTTCCCCAGACACTTGTTTCCTCGTCTCCGCGGCTTTGCCTGCGTTATCTCAGTGTTTCTGTCTCTGTTTATCGGCATGTTTGTTTGCCATCCCTCTGAGTCTGTTCTTCCAACGTCTCTGCCAAAGGCCCGGACTCCGCTCTTGTCGCCCCTTCTAAAACCGGCTGTCGCGGGAGCTCTCCGTGGTGCTGATCTTACGCGCTCCTGTCCGCGGTGCTGAATTCCGAGGGCAGGGTTGGGGGCTGAGGTCAGGGGAGGGGAAGGGTTGGCGGAAGGCACAGCCCCAAAACCGGACAGATCTGACACACGAGCACCCTGGACTACCTCGAAATGGACTAGGGGAAGGCTAGGTACACTAAGTCTTGGTTGTTGAAGCCAATAGGACATCAGTGGGTGTCCCCCAAGGGGCCAGGACACAGGGCCTCCTGTTTTCGTTAATTTACTCAACACTCACAGAGCACCTGCTGTGTACCTAGTTGTGTTTTGAGATCTGGGAGTTCCGCAGTGAAAATGACAGACAAAAACTCTTCATTAGCCTGAGTAGGGAGGGATATTTGTGGTAGTTGCCACTGCTCACAAAAACACATATGCACACACTACAAGCACAGGCACACACACTGCAAATATACAAACACAACATACCAATACATCCTCAGGAAACGGACTCACAGGGGATCCCTGTGTGGCTCAGCGATTTGGTGCCTGCCTTCGGCCCAGGGCGTGGACCTGGAGTCACGGGATTGAGTTTCACTTCGGGCTCCCTGCATGGAGCCTGCTTCTCCCTCTGCCTGTGTCTCTGCCTCTCTCTCTGTCTGTGTCTCTCATGAATGAATAAATAAAATCTTTAAAAAAGGAAACAAACTCACATACACATAGTCACACATTCTGCAAATATGTACTCCTCTAAAATACACACAAATACACATTCTCAGCAAACACAGACTCACACACAACACATATACACGTTTGCAAATATACACTTAGCAAACACACACTGAATCCTATAAAAACACATAATACAAACACAAAATCAGCAAAACACAGACACACACACACATATACACATAAACTCACATTCTGCGAACACACACATATGCAAATACAAAATTAGAAAACATAGACATACACTCAGCAAATGAAGACACACACAAAACAACATGTACAAACACTCAACAGACATAATCACACACACACATAATACCAAAACCAAGGGAAATTCAGCTACATACAAACTCTTTTTTAAAGATTTTATTTATTTATTAATGAGACACACACACACACAGAGAGAGAGAGAGAGAGAGAGAGAGAGGCAGAGACACAGGTAGAGGGAGAAGCAAGCTCCATGCAGGAAGCCTGATGTGGGATCCCAGGACCCCGGGATCCCGCCCTGAGCCAAAGGTAGATGCTCAACTGCTGAACCACCCAGGCGTCCCTACATACAAACTCTTACCCAACATACAAACACACTATTCTCCCAACACACACGTGGACACACACATACACTCACATACCCACTGCAGCACTGTTCTTCTCACCAGACTCTCCCACTAGAATGTCCACTCTGTGAGGTTGAGATTTTCATTTTTTGATTACTACTGCATCCCCAGAACCTAGAGCACTATAGGTGCCCCATAAATGTTTGTTGAATGAATGGATGAATTGAGGGAATGCTTGCAAGAAACTCACATTCACGGAAACTGCAGAAGAACACACACACATTTCAGATGCAGACATGCACCCTCCCCACACATGTGAACACCCTCTTGTTCATTAATGGTCGCTGTTCATGGTCAACAGCCTATATCCCCTGACTTTACCCACAGCATTCTCACAGGACAGCATCCTGATTCTACATCCCCTTCCTTCACATTTATTATATCTTAATCAATTGGATACACGGGGATTGAGACATATACACCCAGATTTTGAACACACACACACACTCAACCAAGAGACACACATACTGTAACTTCACACAACAAACATTCACTACACACACACACACAGCCATACAAACACACTCTCAACTAACACACACACACATAGAGTTTAAGCCATAATCTCAACATAAAGGCCAACACAAGTACATATATACACAGCAGTCGCAGGTCCATTGGCCTTTGGTCAGCTGGAGCAGGGGGTGGGGCGGAAGGAAACTCCTCCTCTGCATCAAACCACACCCCCTTTGGCTGCCGCTCTTTTCTGGACTTGACTCTGAGGTGTCTCAGCAGCTCCCTAGACCCCGGTCCAGTTAACGGTGAGAGGTGATCAGAGGGGGCAGAGGAGGGGAGGGAATTGTCTTGTCTCCACAGACCCTCAGCTTCTCCTAGCCTGTGGTTTTTGGACCACAGCGACAAAACTGGAGTCCTGCCACCGCCAAGCTTGGCTCCAAAGGCCCAGCCCTGGTGGCAGCCCCTAAGCCGATTGTGGGCCGAGAGAAGGTGACCATGAGAGGGGCCAGCAGGGATCAAGAAGGAGGGAGGAGACTGGGCAGAAGAGAGGGAGGAATTACTGGACAGAAGACGGAGATTGAGAGAGCTGGGGAGTCCCTTTAGTTCTGAAGACAGAGGGGATCACCTGAGCCAACCAGGTGGGAGATCCTCCTGAGCATGAGGGGGGGGGAACCATGGTCCAACTAGAGGAGGGGGCCCTTGGACCTAAAGAGATGGAGGGGACATGAGTCTGATGGGGGAGAAGGGGCCCCTGGGTCAGAGGCAGGACTTGATGGTTCCCTGCAATTTGAAGATCCTTGGTCATTGCTTCCCCCATCAACTGCTCGATCTCTGCTCTCCCTGGCACTGTCTCCTTGGTAGGCATTAGGAGGGTACCACCCTTAGCTCTCAGAAAGGGACAGCCAAAACTCACCCCATTCCCAATCTAACTCTTGTCTCAGGTGGACATGGCCAACAGGGGCCACACTCAATCCAGGGCCCTGGCCTGGGCCCTGGGACTGACCCTGGTATGGATCCTGCTGGGTGCCTGTGGAGGGAGCCGCCCACTCCCAGCTTTGTCCCGAAGACACCATAGGCTGGCGGCAGATCTTGGCACAGGCCAGCTGCACCTTGCAGGTGAGCACTCCAGACCCTACCTAACCCCCAACACCCAAGAAACCCCACTTCATCATAGCAATACTAGGATTTCCTTATGAGAGTGGCTTAGGGTGAGGCACAGGCGGGGAAGATGAGCAGGCAGGACTAGTGCTAAAGAATGGTTAGAGTGCGCAGAGTCTGGAGTCAGACTTCCTGGGTTCAAATTCCAACTCTGCCACTTCATAGCTGTGTGACTCTGAGCAAGTCACTTAACCTCTCTGGGCTTCATGTAGACCATTAAAAAGGGAGAAAAAGGGATCCCTGGGTGGCGCAGCAGTTTGGCGCCTGCCTTTGGCCCAGGGCGCGATCCTGGAGACCCGGGATCAAATCCCACATGGGGCTCCCGGTGCATGGAGCCTGCTTCTCCTTCTGCCTGTGTCTCTGCCTCTCTCTCTCTCTCTCTCTCTATCATAAATGAATAAAAAATAAATAATAAATAAATAAAAAGGGAGAAAAATAATAGACCTACCTCATAGGGGTATTGTAGAGGGGTGTATGTAAGCATATGAAAACTTATACCATTATCAGGGACATAAACAATAAGCTGATTATGATTAATTATTATTATTATTATTATTACTAGAAATTGCATTTGTGTCCCAAGAGAAGTATTTTTATTTAAGTTTTATGTTTGGGTAGCACTGATGTAGCTGGGGTCTCCCCTGTTTAGGGGGCTCAGGCCTTGGTTCCCCAATCCTACCTGAGGATCCAAGACCCCAACTCACAGGAGTCCCCTTCCCCATGGTCCTGTTGTCCCCCAGAGATGGACACACCAGAGGCATCGGGCCCTGAGATGGTCTCAGAACACTGTGGGGAGCCGAGCCCCGGGTGAGTACAGTACCCGCCAGGGTTTCCTTGTGTCCTTTGCTCCAGTTGCCCCTGCCAGGGGCCACAGCCCCGGCGCATCCTGACTCAAACGAGTTATTTTTCCCAATGTTCAGGTGCGAATCCTTTCTGGGACACCTCCAAGTCGCCCTCCACAATCGCTTCCGCCTGTTGTTACTGGGGATACGCCAGGCGCAGCCGCTCTGTTCCGAGCTCTGCGACATCTGGTAGGGAAGGCGGGGCAAAAGGGGGTGTGTCCTATGGTTTGAGCGGGACCAAAAGCGAGATGGGCAGCTCGCTCGTCTTGGTGTGTGAAGGGGCCAGGCCTGCCTCCAACAAGGCTAAGATCTGAAGATGAGGCCCAGTGTTTCGAGGCCAGGTGGGAAGGGGCGGGGCCTGTAGTGGACCAGGCTTTTAAGGGGCGGGGCCTCCTGTTTGAAAAGGGAAGCTAAAAGGGTGGGGAATGTAAGGGGCTGGCCTGAATTAGATGGTCTGAAGTCTGCAGGGATGAGGCCAGCTGTGACAGGGCCCTGGATATGTGTGGAGAATATAGGGCAGGGTGAGATCTGGAGGATGGCGTCCGTGGGGAGCGTGGTCCTGAGAGGCGAGACCTGGATCAGGGGGCGGGACGTACACGGAGGGAAGAGTTGGAAGGCAGGAAACCCACTAGAACGCGACCGCGGAGACTTTACCCCCCTCCTCTCTACACACCATCCGCAGGTTCGCCACGTGTGAAAGTGATATTACCTGCGGTCCGACTTGGCTCCCACTCCTAGAAAAGAGGGGCTGTGAGCCTCGCTGCACTACCTACGAGCAGGTGAGCTTGAGACAAGAAGGTGCAGGTCAGAGACTGGGACCTCCCCTTATTGTGTCCTGCCTTAACCCGCCTAGGCCCCAGAGTCCGTGTTGGCACTCCCAAGGCCCCTGCTCCCACCCTTACCCATTCCGCAGCCCAACCTCCGTAATGGGATACGTCTGGACACTCCCTAGGGCCCATTGAGGCTGGATTTGTCCTCCCCAAGGGACCGTCTCTGCTCTAGGCTCGTCCACAGTCCCCCACCCCCACCCCGGAAGACCCAGAAGCCCGAATCACCTCACCTAAAACCCCAGCCTTAATCTAGCCCTCCCCCATCCCAACCCCGCGACCTAGTAAAAAAACCTCGCCCTCTCAGGACTCTGCTCCTGTTATGCCCTCGCCCTCACACTCCCAGGAGGACCCAAAGAGGGTCACTGCCCACCCCTCGACAACGGCTCTACACTCGCCCCTACTTGCAAACCAAGTCCAAGATTTTCCTTTTCCAAGGCCACGCCCCTGAGCACTCCCCCGCCTACACCGCCCGAAGGCCACGCCCCCCACCCCCCACCCCCCACCCCCCCAATATCAGGACTCTATCCACTCCGGCCCTAACTCCACTCTCTCTCCCAGACCTTCGCTGACGGGGCGGACCTTTGCCGCTCGGTTCTGGGCTACGCCCTGCCAGTGGCCGCTCCTGGCGCCGATCACTGCCTCAACATTTCCATCTCGGTACTGCCGGGGTCCAGACAGGAACGGAAGGCCCAGGAAGTCACCTTTCCGCGTTCCCGCCGTTCACGCACCTGGATCCTGGATGCTCCCGGCAGCGGGAGCGGCAGTGGAAGCGGCAGCGGCCCCTAGGGGGCGCCAGGCCTTGAGTGGGAGATTCGTCCCTTCCCCAGACCCCGCCCCTCTAGACACCCGGAGCTTCACCATTCTCCCGCTCTGCCTTCTAGTTTCCAGAGTCCTGTCCCTCCTCCCTGGAGTTCCAGGGACTGGCCCTTCTCCAGGTGATTAGAGAAATAATCCAACTCTAGCTCATCTCTCCCTCTCCCCCTCTGAATAAAGTCGCCAACTAGAGCACTGTGATGTACCTGCTTCTTGGGGCAATAGGGGGCAAAGATAGCTGCCAGAAAGAGATCAGTGTGTCACTTCAAATCGTCAGGTCCCAGAGTTAGCAAATGATGCACACTAGCATGTAAATGACAGCCTATAATCTGAGCACTTTCACAACTTGGAGTATCCAGGTGTCAGAACTGAAAAGGGGTCCAGAAGAGGGGTTGACAAAGGGAAGAGGTATGCCCCCCCTTACTATGTCCACCAGGCCCACCAGGAAGCCCCTTCACTTGTAAGACTTCAAGACAACCTTCATGGCCCTCCCCTCTGATTAAGCACCCAACAGTGGCTGGCATAACGCACACTTCATTCCTTCCTCCCTTTCTTCCAAATCCCAGTCCTCCACCTAAGACAAAGGACTTGACTCAGATTTAAAATTTGGGATGTTGGGATCCCTGGGTGGCACAGTGGTTTGGCGCCTGCCTTTGGCCCAGGGCGCGATCCTGGAGACCTGGGATCGAATCCCACATCGGGCTCCCGGTGCATGGAGCCTACTTCTCCCTCTGCCTGTGTCTCTGTCTCTCTCTCTCTGTGACTATCATAAATAAATAAAAACAAAAAAATTAAAAAAAATAAAAAATTAAATTTGGGATGTTAAGTGCTACTCCTGATCCTCCTCCTATCCAAAAGCCTTAGGACAGCCTGTTTCCTCACCAATAACAAAGAGCAATGTGCCTTGTAGTTTTGTTCAATAGAACAAGATTGATGGATGTGTCCTGTGCCCAGACTGCTGAGATAGATCAGGCCCATTCTCTGCCCTCAGGGAAGATGGAATAGTATGAGAGGTGCCTCACTGGGGAAGTGGCAGATAGACCTCTTTCAGCTTCAAGAGACAAACTCGGTTCTTTTTTTTTTTAAGATTTTATTTATTCATGAGACACAGAGACAGAGAGGGGCAGAGACACAGGCAGAGGGAGAAGCAGGCTCCATGCAGGGAGCCTGATGTGGGACTTGATCCCAGGATTCCAAGATCATGCCCTGGGCTGAAGGCAGGTGCTAAACCACTGAACCACCCAGGGATCCCTGAGACAAACTCAGTTCAAAGTATCTTTAGCCAACAGTGATAAGCTTCAGGAATGGCTATATCTAGTTCCTGAAGTGATGTTAGGAATCTATCTGTATCTTTTTCTTGGCTATTTTCAGTCAGGATCTCCTCACAACAGGAAAGATGGACCAGCAACTACATGATTCCAGTAGTTAAAATGGTCCTATTTCTCTGTCAAAGTTTTCCAGTGCTGGCACTCAATGATCCTGTCTCCTCATGAGAGCCCATCACCAAACCAATCTCTGTGCCCAGAGGGATGCTACACTCTCAATGGCCTGACATGGGTTATGGGCTTGTGCCTGAAGGCTCAGGATGGGGTCAGTTCCATCCAAACCATATGGACTGGGGATGTTTCCCAGCCATTCTGAGTCTCTTTATCTATAAAATGGGGATAAGTGTTCCTCTCCTAGGATTGTTGGGAGAATTAAATGAGCGAATTCAAGTTGTTCTGATTATACATAGCTGTGAAGCAACTCCAAACTTAGTGCTATAAAACAACAATCATTATTCTTTCTGGGTTCAGTTACAAACACTGGCTGGGTCTGGAATCACCCTAAAGTCTTCTTCATTCATACATCTGGTGGTTGGCACTGACTCTTGCCTGGCTGCCGACAGAATTGCTACACATGGCATGTCCCTCTGGCTTGGGCTTCCTCACAGCATGGCATCTGGGCTCCAAGGGCAAGTGTTCCAAGACAGTCAGGTTGAAGCAGTCTCCTCTCTTTCTCTCTGGCGTTAGAAAGCAGTGTTGCTATTCACTGATGTTGTGTCACTAGAGCCAGCTCATATTCAAGGGGAAGCATTAGACTCCAACTCCTAATGAGAGGGATGCCAAATAAAATACTTAGAAAATGCCTGGGACATAATTAACTGTCAATAAACATAGACATTATCCATTATCATTGTCACAGTTATATATACTGTTACACATAAGGCCTTGAACACAAGGCAAAGGTTCTTGGCCCTGATGATAAGGTGAAAGCCACGGAAGGTTTACACACAAGAAGACCCATCAGACTAAGACTCTTGTCTGACCCTGCCAGTAGGACAGGGAGAGGGTGAGACTGGAGATAAGGAAGACCAGTGAGGACATCAGGACAGGAAGCAGAAGGTGGGCAGAGATGGGTGAAAGAGAACCAGAAGAATAAACCACATGGTAATCTTCCAGAAACAGGTTATTGTTAATTTATTTATTTTTAAGTCTTTAAAAAAGATCTATTTAGAGAGAGAGCGTGAACAGGGAGGAGCAGAAGGAGAGGGAGAGAAAGAATCCCAAACAGGCTCCATGCTCAGGGTGGAGCCCAACGCAGGCAGGACTCAATCTCACTATCCTTACATAATGACCTGAGTCGAAATCAAGAGTCAGGGATCCCTGGGTGGCTCAGCGGTTGAGTGTCTGCCTTTGACTCAGGGCCTGATCCCAGGGTCCGGGATAGAGTCTCACGTTGGGCTCCTGCAGAGAGCCTGGTTCTCCCTCTGCCTATGTCTCTGCCTCTCTGTCTTGAAAGAGAAAGAAAAGAAAGAAAAGGAAGGAAGGAAAAGAAAGAAAGAAAGAAAGAAAGAAAGAAAGAAAGAAAGAAAGAAAGAAAGAAAGAAAGAAAAGAAAAGAAAAGAAAAGAAAAGAAAAGAAAAGAAAAGAAAAGAAAAGAAAAGAAAAGAAAAGAAAAGAAAAGACATGAAGAGTCAGACACTTACCAACTGAGCTGCTCAGGTGCCCCCAGACCCTACATTTCTAACAGATGAGCTTGATGCTGCTGATCTGGGGATCTCTATTTGAAAAACTGGGGATTCAAAGATCTATTTTTTAAAGATGTTATTTCTTTATTCATGAGAGACATAGAGAGAGAGAGAGAGAGAGAGAGAGAGAGAGAGACAGGCAGAGGGAGAAGCAGGCTCCACGCAGGGAGGCCGATATGGGACTCGATCCCAGGACTCCAGGATCACGCCCTGGGCCAAAGGCAGACCGAAGCTTAACTGCTGAGCCACTCAGACGTCCCAATAAAAAAAAAAAAAATTAAAAAAAAAGTAACATTTGCAAATTACACCCTTAGGGTGCCCACTAACTTCTACTTACGGGGGATAGTTTCTCTTTATCTTGTCCAGGCAAATTCCATGAGCAGTCAAAGGGGCCTATACATTCAAGATAAACTATAATTCTAATTCGAGAGAAAAAAATAAATCCAAAATTTATAACATAAATTTACAAATTTATAGCAGAGAAAAGGACAGGGCAAGATTACTAATGGAATCTGGATGTGTAAACGTTTTGTAACTACAATGATAACCAGAGGCTGAGGCTTGAAGAGAAGGTACCCCAAGGGTGGAAAAATGGGGAAGCCCCAGCTCCTCCCCAAGGTTTGCCTTCACCATCCCTACTCTCCGGCCTTCTCAAAGCAGATCTTCCAGGACGCCTGGTGGCTCAGTGGTTGAACATTTGCCTTCAGCTCAGGACCTGATCCTGGAGTCCTGGGATCGAGTCCCACATCGGGCTCCCTGCATGGAGCCTGCTTCTCCCTCTGCCTGTGTCTCTGCCTCTCTCTGTGTCTCTCATGAATAAATAAATAAAACCTTTAAAAAACAAAACACCAAAGCAGATATTCTCATCTCCGGGTATCCGCACTAACTGCTCCCACTGCCAGGAGCCCTCTTCTCCCTCCTGTTCTGTTCCACCCCTCAGATCTCAGCCATTGAGCTTCTCAGGCTCTGTGAGCCCCAGAGCAGAGCTGGGATCCCCATGGTGCACTCCTGAGGTCCCCTGGACCTGAGTGGGTACTCAGAGACCTTTTGTAGCTGGGTCAGCACTGGCTTCCTGGTCCCCAGCACAGAACCTATGTGGAGGTATTCGGTTATGCACTAAATTGTATTCCACTCCCCAAATACATGTTGAAGTCCTAACCCCAGTGCCCCAGGCTGTGACTACATTTGGATAGGGTCTTCCAAGAGGTAATTAAAGTAAACTAAGGTCATATGGGTGAGTCATAATCCAATGACTGGAATCCTTAAGAGATTAGGGGCGCCTGTGTGGCTCAGTCAGTTAAGCATCTGCCTTCGGCTCACGTCATGATCCCGGAGCCCTGGGATCGAGCCCTGCGTGGGGCTCCCTGCTCGGTGGGGAGCTTGCTTCTCCCTGTCCCTTTACCCGTCCCCACTGCTCATGCATGCTCTTTCTCTTTAATAAATTTTAAAAAGAGAGAGATTAGGACAGACACACACAAAGGGACTACCTTGTAAAACACAGGAAGAAGATGGCCATCTGCAAACCAAGGAGAAATCAACACTGCCAACACCTTCATTTTGGACTTCTAGCTTCCAGAACTGAGAAAATCAACTTGTTGTTTAAGCCACCCAGTCTGTAGTACTTTGTTATGGAGCCCTAACCAATACATGCTCCATAAATAATATTCCCATAATGTCCTGGGCTTTTCCCATCAGAACATTTACTAAGAAGTTAAAAACCATCCCCTTTCTTCTTTCCATGAAATTGCCACTGCTCAAGTCAAGGAAGAGTCAGGGTGAGGGAATGAGGTGGGAGGGCTGGGTACTGGATGTCTTCCTACGCCCAGGTACCAGTTCTTAACTTTTTATCCCAGATAGTCCATTCCCCCACTAAGGAATTGCTTTGGGCATAGACTTGTCCTACTTTCAGCCAGGAAGTGACAGGGCAGCTGCTGGGGGATGAGGCCTTTGGAGATTGAGATGTGATATCTGTAACTGTGGCAGCCATAGTAGGACCATGAGAGGCAGAAAAACCCCACCAAAATGGCAAAATAGATGAATTTTTAAAATGGTGTCTTTGGGGCACCTGGGAGGCTCAGGTGGTTAAGCATCCAACTCTTTGATTTTGGCTCAGGTGATGATCTCAGGGTCATGGGATCAAGCCCCACGTAAGTCAGGCACTGTGCTCAGCGCGGCATCTGCTTGAGATTCTTTCTCTCGTCTTTCTGTCCCTCCCCTCCACGTGTGATCTCTCTCAAATAAAACAAGAAAAATCTTAGGAGAAAAAAAAAAAGAGTGTCCTTGATGTTGTTGAGCCACAGTGTAGGTTGAGTGTAAGCTTCCAAACTTCTCACGGACTGAAATAAACCTGTCCTGCTACTGGCAAGGCTGTGCGGGAAATAAGTGCTTACTTACACCGCTGGTGGGACGAGTTCATGTCTTCACAGAGAGGAGTTTGAAAATATCTCTCCAAATTACAAGCCACATAGATCCTCTCACCCAGCAAGCTCACCTCTGGGGATTTATCCTACAGACAAAACTGCATGAGAAATTATGGCATACCCCGGTCATTCTCCACTGTACACGTTTAATATTTATTTTTAAAAACATTTTATTTATTCATGAGAGACAGACAGAGGGGCAGAGACACGGGTAGAGGGAGAAACAGGCTCCATGCATGGAGCCCAATGTAGGACTCAATCCCGGGTCTCCAGGATCATGTCCTGAGCCAAAGGCAGATGCTCAACCACTGAGCCACCCAGGCGTCCTACACGTTTAATATTTAATGGCAAGCCGGGCAATAATTCAATGCCTCTTAAGAAGCATTAAGTAGTGCACCTATTTAAGTAGGGGCATTAAATAAACCACAGGACATTTGCACTGAGGACTCTGAAGCTAGAATGGGAATGAGGAAGGTCTTTAGGCATTCATTGGGAATTACCTCCAAGATGTGGTGAAGAGTAAGAATGTGCACTGTCTAGGGTAATCTGTTTCCATTTGTAAAACAAAAACAAACCTCAGGAAAGCATCCACATGTATATTTGTAACATGCCAGGCAATGCCCAGAAGGATCTAAAAGGTACCTGCTGTGGCCTGAATGTCTGTGTTCCCCCAAAATTCATGTTGATATCCTAATTCCGACAGATAATGGTGTTAAGGGGTGATTAGGTCAAGAAGGGGATTAGTGCTCATATAAAAGCGACCTTACACAGGTTCTTTGCCCCTTCTGCCACGGGAGGACACAGTGAGAAGTTGGCAGTCCACAACCTGGAAAACGGTCCTCACCAGAATCTGACCACCGTGATCTTGGATTTCTGGCCTCCAGAATGTTAATAAATGTCTGTTGTTTATAAACCACCCTGTCTGTGGTATTTTGTTAGGGCAGCCCGAACAGACTGAGACACCTTGGTAAGCCCACCAGCAATCTGGAGGCAGGGTGCTCCCTCCTAATTCTGCATCCTACAAGTATATTATGCATTGAAAAAAAAAATAAAATAGGGGCACCTGGGTGTCACAGTTGGCTAAACGTCTGATTCTTGGTTTTTGGCTCAGGTTGGGATCTCAGAGTTGTGACCTCAAGCCCCGGTTGGGCTCCATGCTCGGAGCAGAAGTCTCCTTCAGATTCTCTCTCTCTGCCCTTACTCTGAGCCTGCATGTGTGCTCTCTCTCTCTCTGTCTCTAAAACAAACAAATCTTTATTTTTTAAAAGATTATTTATTCATGAGGCAGAGAGAGAGAGAGGCAAAGACACAGGCAGAGGGAGAAGCAGGCTCCATGCAGGGAGCCTGATGTGGGACCCAATCCCAGGTCTCCAGGATCACACCCCCCCAAAGGCAGCACCAAACCACTGGGCTACTGGGGCTGCCCAACAAATCTTTAAATAATAAATTAAATAAAATGAAAATAAAAATAAAAAGGGACACCTGAGTGGCTCAGTGGTTGAGCATCTGCCTTTGGCTCAGGTTATGATCCTGGGGTCCTGGGATAGAGTCCCGTAGCAGGTTCCCCATGGGGGTGCCTGTTCCATCTATCTAGGTCTCTGCCTGTCTCTCATGAATACATAAAATCTTAAAAAATAAATAAATAAAAATTTAAAAATAAAATAAATCAGCCAGGGAGGGCCTATCTTGTTTAGGTTCCAAAAGTCTGTAGCTGGACCCAGCTACAGAGCCACACTCCCAATGAGCTTCCACCCCAAAGTACAACCAAATGCTTAGCTTTCCTTAAACAATTTTAATCACAAATTGGGGGGTGGGGAGAAGCAGGGCAGGGTGAGGGAGGCACGTAAAGGGAGAACAGGTTGGCTCCTAGAGAATGGTGGCTGACTCCAGGCCTCGCTCTTGGAAGTACCGGTGGGGGAGGCGGGGGTGGGTTCGGGGGCCTTTGCTGAAATAGGACATGATCCTCCCAGGTCCCTCCTGATCCTGTCAGCGAGTCCTCCCTGTGGGCGAGAGAGAGGTGGGGATACTGATCACTTTGGAGTGTCGGGAGGAGGCCGGGGGGGGGGGAGATCCCAGGGAGGACCGAGCCCCGGCCTCCCTCTCTCATTCTTCATGGCACCCCCAGGACACCCACCATATAACACCTTCCGCCTCCTTCTCCAGGATGCTCTGGGCCGTGCGCCAGCTGAAACGGACAAACTGGGGGAAGCCAAACACAGGCTCCACGTGCTTCCTCAACCACGCTTTTGTCTTGGGATCTGAGGGACAGGAAAGGTGGGGTGGGCAGTGGTGATAGCTCCTGAGCCCTGCTACATGGTCCAAGTTCCTCAGCCTGGCATCAGAGGCACTACTACATCATCTTGGCCTCCAGAGTACCCCTGAGGCACCTCCCACTATCTGGGACCCATTCCTGCCTCAGAACCCTTGTGCAGGCAGCTTCCCAACTCCACCTGATGTGCTCAAGGTAGTTTAGGGAGACTGTCCCTGAGACAACCTTTCACCCCCTCAAGGACAACAGTCATTAAATGAGCATCTGTGAATCATTGTGGTAATACCCAACATCTCCACAAAACTAGGAGCTCAGCAGGGACAGGGAAGTCCTTCTTTGTCTTGCTCATGGCTATATCCCCAAGGCACAGATTTGCAGGCACATACCAGGCTCTCAATAAGCACGGAATGTGACCCAAACTGTCTTTGGCTTGGACCTGGTTTCCTTACTTTGGCCTCACCTAAGTTCCAATCACAGACTTGCTGTGTCTCCCTACCCAAATGCCCATCCATCCCTTGGGCCTCAGAAGGACCACAGGGCTCCTTGAACCCAGCCACTGAATCTTGAAATAGACTCATGGCAGGGAGCAGGCACACGATCATCTACCACACAAAGAGAGTGAGCCTCATAAATGGGAAGAAAACAAGAGATTCGGGGCGCCTGGGTGGCTCAGTTGGTTAAGCAACTGCCTTCAACTCAGGTCATGATCTCAGGTTCCTAGGATCGAGCCCCACATGGTAGCCTACTTCTCCCTCTCCCTCTGCTACCCCCCAGCTTGTGCTCTCTCTCTTCCTCTCTTTGTCAAATAAATGATAAAATCTTAAAAAAAAAAAAAAACAGATTTAAGCTGGGGCTACTGGACCTGAGCTGACACCCCTCACCACCACCCATTTCCCCTTAATAGACAGATGCCCACCAAGGGTGTCAGGCCCTCACTGGGGCACAGCAGAGATGGAGAGAGAAGGGAGGAGAAAGCCTGCCACCTGGAATCCAGCTTTTCCACATGGTGGCCATAAACAAGTGGCTCCCCCATCTGAGCGTCAGGCTCTTCCATCGCGGAGCAGGATGAGCACAATGAAGAAAACTGTAGAAGTGCACTCAGGCCTCCCTTGTTGGCGTTACTGCCAATATCACTATCTCAAGGAGGCTCCAGTCTGCTCACCATTGGGGTAACCGGAGCCATAATCGGCATCCAGGTCCTGCAGTTTTTCCACAAAGTGCCAGCTCTTTACAGCCTGGTCACGGGCCACCTGTAGGCAAGATAAAAACTTAGGATCTCCCTCCCCTGAAGCAGGCACGCCTGCCACATGTCCAGGGGGATGCTAGGAGCTGGCCATGGCCAGAAGGAGCCTAACCTTGGCACAGATACTGGCAGCGCTGACCACAGGGTAGAGGGCATCCGCCTTGGCCTTGACCGTCACCTCAATGCCAGGAAAGCGCTGCTGCAACCGCTCTTGGTAGGTCTCTGGCAGCCCCACAGTGTCCACAAATACCTGCCATGGTGACAGAAAGGTATTCATTCAACAAACTTCTGGGAAAATAACCGTGTCAGTGATCCAGCCTCACCACATTTACACCCGCTGCTCCTGTGTCTGGAATACTCTTCTCAGCTCAAGGCCAGACTGCACCTTTCCCAGGCATCTCAGTTTATTTTATTATTTTTTTAAAGACTTATTTATTTATTCATGAGAGACATACAGAGAGAGGCAGAGACATAGGCAGAGGGAGAAGCAGGCTCCCCTTAGGGAGCCCAATGTGGGACTCGGGACTTGATCCTGGATCCCGGGATCACACCTGGAGCCAAAGGCAGACACTCAACTGCTAAGCCACCCAGGCATCCCGGGCATCTCAGTTTAAAAGTCCCCTCCAGGGGCACCTGGCTGGCTCAGTCGGCAGAGTGCACAACTCTTGATCTTCAGGTCACGAATTTGAGCCCCACACTGGGTACAGAGATTACTTAAAAAAAAAAGGAAAAGTCCCCTCCAAAAGAGGCTGTCCCTGATCAAGCTGAAGCTATTCCACACTTACTGAGCACCTACTGCATACCACAGTTACAGCAGATGCCAGGAATTATAGAAGCAAATGCAACAGACAAAAAAACCTGTCTTCATGGAGTGGATACCCTGGTAAGTGCCACAGACAAGAAACAGGATAAATAATAAAGGACAGGGGAGAGTTGGGAGGGATTACCATTTTATTTCTTATCTACCTTTTTTTTTTTTTTTTTAAGATTTTATTTATTTATTCATGAGAGACACAGGCAGAGACACAGGCAGAGGGAGAAGCAGGCTCCAGGCAGGGAGCCTGATGTGGGACTCGATCCTGGGACTCCAGGATCACAACCTGGGCCAAAGGTGGCACTAAACCGCTGAGCCACGCAGGCTGCCCTACTTATTTTTTTAAGTATGCTCTATGTCCAATGTGGTGCTTAAACTCTTGACCCTGAGATCAAGAGTACCATGCTCTAACAACTGAGCCAGCCAGGCATGCTGGGGGGGTATCATTTTATATAGTGGTAGGAGAGATTCAGGGATGGTCACTTCAAGGTGGTGACATTTGAATAAAGGCCTGAAAAAGGTAAGAGAAGGAGCCATGTGAAGAGGATTCTAGCCAGAAAGAACAGCTAGTGCAAAGGCCCTGAGGTGGGACCGTGTCAAGTATGCTAGACAGTAACAGGGAGGCCTCATAGCTGGAATAGAGAGATCAAGTCAGTGATCTCCATTGCGGTTACCCTCAGAAATCACCTTTATTATCTGCTTACCAGCTACCATCTGTGCCTCCTGACTTGGTCACCAAACCCTAGAGGGCAGGGCCCTTGTCTGTCTGTCCTAGTACTGCACTGTGGGCTCCATATTCCAGTCCTGGACTTTAGCCATCTCCTCAACAACGTCTCCCTTGTTATGTTCCCTATCTCAAGCGTATTAATCCTTGTTATTCTCTCAAAACAGCCTGTTCTTTGCCGCAGAGTACTGGATACAATGCCAACTTTTATTTCCTTCTGGTAATTCAATCTCACTCTCTTCCACTTGACACTGAACTTTCCAGATTTATTACTGGGATCAAAAAATTAAATGTTGAGATCTATGTTTCAAAATGTGACTATCTGCTTCACAGGAGCAGACTATAAAGGACAGGCCTCAAAGTGGGAGGAGGATGGGGGAAAAATCCAAGAGAGAAGGGTACCCTGGGATAGGAGAGAGGCCGAAGACAGGGGAACAGATATAGATTTGTTCCGGATTCTGAGCCTTTAAGATACAGAGAGATAAATCAGGGCACCTGGGTGGCTCAGTGGTTGAGTGTCTGCCTTTGGCTCAGGTTGTGATCCAAGGGTCCTGGGATCGAGTCCTACATCAGGCTTCTCACAGGGACCCTGCTTCTCCCTCTGCCTATGTTTCTCCCTCTCTCTCTGTGTCTCTCATGAATAAATAAATAAAATCCTAAAAAAAAAAAAAAAAAAAGATACAGAGGTAAATTAAAACAGAGTGGAGCTGGGGTCTCCTCCTTGATCCTGTATGGGGCACACATTTTGGGTAGGAAAAATAGTAGAAAGTCGAAAGACAGCAATATATATTCCTGAGATAACTCAGTTATGTCTGACTCTGAATCACCCACCGTACTTATATACTCCCATTTTATCCTGAAGTGATCAAATGTGGACAATCCAACAGCTCACCTGTGCAACTTTCACACCCTGGTCCAAGGCATACTGCACCAGCCCAGTGGCTGTATCATGGGATAGGGAGTTCAGGTTGTACTTGACCCTGCAATGGGAGACAAAACCTAGTCAGTTCAGGTCCCTACACCGATCCCTTCCAGGCCACGCTGGCTGCCCCTCCACCCGGCCCCTCCCGGAGGCCCCTCACCGCCCAAGCATGCTCGTAGAGATGAGGTTTGGAGACAGCACGTCCAATGCCCAGCCCACAAAGTCCCTGTCCTTCTCCATTTTCACAAAGAGCCTGTCCCGCTCGCTCTCCGATAGGGTCTTTGAGTCTGGGAGGAGGGTTGGGAGAGAAGGGGTGCGACTGGTTCTCCCAGCTGTTCTCCCCCTCCAGTTTGCACCCGCTCCTGCACACACCCAGGAACCCCCTCCCCAGGGTCACACCTCGGGCTCACCTGCCACTTTCAGGGCTTCCAGATCTGCCAGGCGGGACAGGGGGCAATAACAGATGGCGTAGACCATGGGGCCTGGAGAAGCGAGGGTCCAACCAGTGAGCCCGTGAAAACCGCTATACTTATTCCATCATCACCGCTTTTTTCGGTGCCATTACCACCATCACCCCCCTCCCCGGGTAGGGTACAATCCCGGCTTCCGTTCCAGTGCAACGTGCATTCCCCTAATCACGCCCCTCCCCCAGCCCAGCCCTGGGGGCGCACCCAGCACCGGGCCCCGGCCCGCTTCATCGACGCCCAGGACGCAGGGCTCCTGGCGGCACACCGCGGGCACAGGCGAGCTCAGGCGACAGCGGCCCGTGTTGTCTCTGTCCAGCTCGCTGAAATCCATGCCGTCTCTGCCGCAGCCACCGACCGCAAGAACCAGGTCTACAGGAGCGGGTCTAGGCGCGCGTTTTCCGCGGGATCCGAAGCGGCTCTGGCTCCCGACCAATCGGTGCCCGGGACACGCCCCCGACGCTCCGGCCACCGTTGACGTTTCTGCAGCCGCCGCCGAAACTCCTGCCGCGCGGATTCCTGGGAATTGTAGTTCCCAAGGCCGACCGCCGAGCTCCTTTGGGGGAACGGGGCGGGCGGGGTCGCCTTCCAGGCTCCGCTCCGGAGTCCCTGACGCCCCGCCCGTCGGGGCTGCTAGGAGGATAGGGAAATAAAAGTGGGAAACTGACGCAGGCCTTGGAGGCCGCGGCCCAGCCAGGGCCTAGAAGGTCAAATATCACTATACTGCCAGACTACTGCCAGTGCCCACATCACTGGGTCCCGGTCCCCGATCTGGATGCTGGCTCTGGTCCCTGTCCCTGCCATTCCACACAGTCTAAGCCCTCCGGACCAGGTATTCCTACTTCCACTGGGCTCAGGCCTTCAGATTTGCCTTCCAGCTCCCTCTCTCTCCAGCTCCCTCCCTCTCTCTCTCTCTCTCTCTCTCTCTCAATACCTCACCCAGACCCTCGCCCCCCCTTTCCCCGCTTCCTAACCTCTCTCTAACTGGGGCTAGGCCTCCTCCACCCACCCCCTCCCAACTGTGATCCCAGATCTCAATAGGCTTCTGCTGAGAGTCTGAGCCCACCAGGCAGGGCCATTCCCCCCAGTTGAGGGTTAATGTCCCCCAGTTCTCGAGTCTCAAACGGGCTCACATCATCACCCTGTAGGTCCTTGACCCTCATCAGGCTCATGCCCCTTCCTCAGGGTCACAGTTCCTCCATCTCTGATTCCCCCCTCCCGGCCCATCACTAGCTTTCTTCCTTTCTCCCCGGGTATCAGTGGGGCTCACAGCTCCTGACTCAGCTCACCTTTCCCCACCGTCTTTAAGCCTCATCCCTAAAGGCTCTCCTCGCCGCACCCCCCCCACGCCCCGCCTTTTCTCTCCCCTCACCCCAGGCCCTGAGGACTCTCAACCCCGGACTAGACCACCTGCCCTGGCCCCGCCTCCTCTGCGCTAGTCTCTCACTCGGGTTCAGGGCCTCCAGTCGCAATCCGTTGGTTTGCAGGATGAACAATCCCGTTGCCTGCAGGGCCGCACCTGCACCAGATTCTCGCGGTCCATGAACACCGGACCCGGCGCCGTGCCCAGGACCTCGCGGCTGCGCTCCTGCTTGCCCAGGTCGCAGAAACAGCGCCACTTCCCCCAGGGGCCAAGGATCGAATCCTCCAAGTCTAGGGATAGAGGGCCAGGTAGGGGGGAACCTACCCCCCCATGCCCTCCTCTAGGAAGGGAGGCAGATAAATACACTAACAACATCTCCTGTTTGCTGGGCTCTGCGTCTGTGCCAAGCACTCCACCATAGATAATCTAATTTAATTTTCCCATTATTCCCAGGTGGGGAAACTGAGACTTATAGAAAGCAAGCCACCCCTTGAGCTGATACATCTGGTGTATTGCCCAGAGGAATTGCAAACTGACACTTCCCACCTGTGCCAGCCTGTCCAGTTGGGAGTGTGATACAACACCTTTGGTGCCCACCATCTGAAGCTGACTCCTGTTTTTTTTTTGGGGGGGGGTGATAATGGGCCTGTTCAGTAGGCATAGTGCCACCTAACCAGCAGGAATGCCAGGTGGTAAATTAAGTGACATAATTGGCATAATATAATGAAGTACTGAAAGTCTCTGGTGATGTGCTAGCAGGTAGTACAAAAACAACTATAATGACCACTTTTCAAGCAGCTCCAACCTTCTGAGTGCTTATCAGAGGCTCTTTTACAATGTTCTTTTATGGACTCCTCCCTATGCCCCTAGGAAACTGGTCTTATCCCAACTCTGCAGCTCACAAAGTCCTAACACTTCATGCCTTCCCAAGACAACACTGGCCTCTTTCTTTCCCTCCGCCTGGACTCTTGGCTTTGGCACTTGCTGTTCCCATTCCCTGGCACACTCTTCTCCCTCAATCTTTGTGTTTTTGGCTTTTGCTGGATTCCTGCTGCATTGGTTACCGATCTGCTCCGTCAGGCCTTTTCCGACTTGAGACATTTACCCGCCCCTTTCTTCCTCTATCCCTATCCTTCCTAGCGCTTATCCATGAGTTTATGGATGTGTCTGGTTCTGGATTTATTGCCTACCCATGTCCCCCTCTGCCCCTGTAAGTGGTGTAAAGTCAGTCTCTATTTCAACTTACAGGTAAGAAAACTGAGCCTCAGAGAAAAGTAACCAGCCCAAGGGGGCCAGCTAGTGTGCAGATGGGGAGAGAGATCTGAAGTCCCTGGAGGAGGGTCTGTTTGCAGCCAGCTGGCAAAGTGGGGCAATAGGGCACCTTTCCGCACCATCACACCCGCAGCGTGTGGTTACCTTTCTCCTGATGCTGCAGCCGCAGCTCCTCCCAGAGGTCGCCTTCGCTCTTCTCGCCGAAGTAATTGTAGTTGGGGGAGACCCTAGCAGGGGTCCCCAGAAGCAGGAGAATCAGAGGTGGCAGCAGTAAGTCCGCCGGGCTCCCGGCCATGCCGGACTCCAACCGACCCGGGCGCGCTCCGAGGAGGAGCTCCTCGCGGGGGATGCGGTGGCCGCGTCACCCCCCGCCAGCGGTGGTAGTGGTCGGGGCCCGCGTTCCCCGACTCCTCCCGCCGCTTGCGGGCGCGTGGACCCGGCCGGCCTCGTTCCCCACCCCCCCGCGGTTGCAGTGGACCCGACCGCTCCGCTCGTCCGCCCACCCCCCCTCGCCCTCTGCGTCATGGTTCGGGCCGCGCATAAAAGGCACCCAGGCCCAGGGCGCGCTCGGCGCTGAGAACGTGTGTTCGCGCGTCTGCCAGCCGGTGCGCGCCGCCCTTGCCCACGCAGGTATGGACACCTAGAGGGCACCGGGCTCTGGGAAGCACCCCCCCCACCCCGGAGCGGCTCCGGCCGGGTCCAGACCTTAGCGCTGCAGCCTTTGTTTCCGCCCGCCGGAGTGGCCGCCTTTGTCCTTGCAGGGGAAACCGAGGCCTCGGCCTTGCAACACAGGCCGCATCGGCGAGCTCCCCACCCCCGGCTCGCGGGGGCTCCTCCCGGAGCGGTGGGCTGGTGCCAGGCAGCTCAAGCCGACACGCTAATGGGGGGCCCCGGCGCCTGCGGCCCGGCCGCTAGTGCTGGTCAGGGGGGCGGGTCTCCTGCAGTGTCCAGGCCGCGCAGCCCGGGTACCCGGGAGGGTGCGGGGTAGTGCTGCGGCCTCTGCCTCTCAGTAGCCGGGCCCAGCACGCAGCACGACCTTGGGAAGGGACGACAGAGGGTCTTCCCAGGCGCGCTGACCAAGCGGGGGGTGGGGGGGGTGTCTCAGCTTGCAGTCATGACCTCTGGCAAGGCGCACATCGGAAAGCCCGCCCCGCCCTTCCAGGCCACCGCCGTGGTGGATGGCGCCTTCAAGGAGGTGAAGCTTTGCGACTACAAAGGTGAGGGGCAGCCGAGCGTGGGCCCAGGTGGGCGTAGGACCCAGGCGTTAGAGGCCTAATTCCTTGTCTATCCCCGCTTCCTTCCCCAGGGAAATACTTGGTCCTCTTTTTCTACCCGCTGGACTTCACCTTCGTCTGCCCCACGGAGATCATCGCCTTCAGCGAGCATGCCGAGGACTTCCGCAAGCTGGGCTGTGAGGTCCTGGGGGTCTCCGTGGACTCTCAGTTCACCCACCTGGCTTGGTATGAGCGGGGACCCGCAGGGAGGGAGGATGTCACCGGGCCTACAGTCTCCTCAAGGATCCTTGGGGCTGTTGCTCAACGTCTGTGCCCCCCCCCTCTTGAAAATCATAGCATTCAGAAGGCCCAAGTCCTTAATGATGGCATAATTAGCATTTGAAAACTAGTTGCTTGGCCCAGGGAGTTGGAGATGCTTTACCTCACTTAGGGCAGCACAGCCTCCCTTACAATAGCTATTTCAAGAAGGTGGAAACTCCAGTTCTAGTTGGTGAAGGGCTGGGCCCCAACACACAGAACTAGAGAGAGGATGATGGGGGGCTGTAAGGCAGGCTTTCTGCCCTGAGCTGTGGGAGGTCACCAGCACATGTGAACACCCTTGACTGGAGCTGGAGCCTTGGCTTAGTGTTCACAGCTGTGGGAAACAGCCCCTGCAGCCTCTTGAGGGTGGAGTGGGTGGGGATCCTAGAGCCTTGCTCTAAAGCCCCTTATCGCTCAGCTCCAGTACCTCTCCTCCAGTCTTTATCATACCTAAGCCCCCGGGGTGAGGATCCAGCACTGTCTCTTGCACCCCTAGGATCAACACTCCCAGGAAGGAAGGGGGGTTGGGCCCCCTGAACATCCCCCTGGTGGCTGATGTAACCAGAAGTTTATCTGAAGATTATGGTGTGCTGAAGGAAGATGAAGGCATTGCCTACAGGTACTGTGGGGGCCCTTGAGGAGCCCCGGTCCTCAGGGGCAGGGGACAATGCTTGGGTAGGGTCTTCCCTGCCCCCAGCCCTGTGGCCGGCTGGTAGGGAGGTGTTATTCCCTCCCCTGGCCCTGGCAGCGGGAACTCCCAGCTCCTCACCATGAACCTTGATATCTTCAGGGGCCTCTTTATCATCGATGGCAAGGGTGTCCTTCGCCAGATCACTGTCAATGATTTGCCTGTGGGGCGCTCTGTGGATGAAGTTCTGCGGCTGGTTCAGGCCTTCCAGTACACGGATGAGCACGGGGAAGGTGAGCACACACATTCACCTGTGGGTACATACTCAGCCCTCATGCACTCACTGCTCTATCACTTGTGTGGGATGGATATGAGGGCCCCAAGGAAGACTCAGTTCGGGGCCTTGTCTGCAGGACCTTTCTAGTCTGGTGGGGGAGATACCCTAATGTGAGGGTGGGGAGCCAGGAGTTAACAGATTTACAAAAGGTATTTGAGAAGGCATGTACCAAGGCAAGCTCGGATAATATTAGTTGGATCAGAGTACTCTCGTGGGAGGACACAGTTTGGTCACAGGCCCTCGAAGTCCAGTGGATCTATGGCTGAAGGAGAAATAGGATCCAAAGGGGTCAAAGAGAAGGGTGCCAAGGTGGCTCCATCAGTTAAGCATCTGACTCTTGGTTTTGGCTCAGGTCATGGTCTCAGGTCCTGGGATCCAGCCCCTTGTCAGGCTCCACACTTAGCAGAGAGCCTGCTCAGAGGATTCTCTGTCCTTCTCCCCCTGCTCGAGCTCTCTCTCTCTCTCTCTCTCAAATAAATAAATCTTTAAAAAACAGTGGGGGGGAGGGTGTCCAAAAAGAAATAAAAATGTCAGCCAGGACATCCTATAGCTTGAAGGACTTCTCTCAATATGCTGTATGGTCGTGGGCCTGTACCACTTGGCTCTGGGCTTTTGCTTCTGCTACTCAGGCTCATGCTTTGCCTCTGTTCATCCCCTTGTACTGCCCTACCTTGAAGATGTGGCTCTAGCCTCTCATGTGCATCCCTGTGTCTCCCCCACAGTCTGCCCCGCTGGCTGGAAGCCAGGCAGTGACACAATCAAACCTAACGTGGACGACAGCAAGGAATACTTCTCCAAACACAACTAGACTGCAGACAGGCGGAAAGCTTGGGCTGTTGGCCCCCACCTACACCCCTACGTGGATACCCCATGCTGACCCAGGAAAGGCCAGACCTGCCCCTTTAAACTCCATGACCCTGGAGGGTTTGTCCAAGGCCTTCTCATTCTCCCAGGTGGGAGCTGGTGAATGGTGATCCCCTCCCTGGAGCCCATCTAGCTGGGCCCGGGCCAAAAGGTGACCAATAAAGTACTAGGACAGACAGGAGTCTGAGTCCTCGTGTCTTTTGCACCTTGGCCCCCTCTTCCTGGGAAATTGACTGTAGTTACTTATCTCCACCACAAGGTGGGAGCCTTACCTCATACTTACTGCTTCCTCTTTCTCCTTGGCCTGAGGGTGGTTTCCAAGGGGCGGGGGGGGGGGGGGGGGGGGGGGGGGGGAGTGAGGTAGGCTGTGGGTCCCTTGCAGGGAGCAAGCCCCAAGATGCCCTAGGCCTGAAACCTGGCCACACAGTGCAGCACCCACACTTTGCCATCAGCCAGCCTGGGTTCAAAGGCCATTCAAGAGCTGTGATTTTCCCTGGGTTTCTTCAACAGTAAGATGCGAATAAAGACAACCAACTCGGGATCCCTGGGTGGCGCAGCGGTTTAGCGCCTGCCTTTCCTGCCTTTGGCCCAGGGCGCGATCCTGGAGACCCAGGATCGAATCCCACGTCGGGCTCCGGGTGCATGGAGCCTGCTTCTCCCTCTGCCTGTGCCTGTGTCTCTGCCTCTCTCTCTCTCTCTCTCTCTCTCTCTCTCTCTCTCTCTGTGTGACTATCATAAATAAATAAAAATTAAAAAAAAGACAACCAACTCACATCACCGTGTGATACGGTATGTGATACATACTGTGAAGCAATACAGTATGTGAAGCTTGGGGTCCAGTTAATGGTTATTAGGACAGGTCCCCGGGGCTGGAAGAAGAGGGCGGGGTGCCAGCCCTAAGAGCAGAACCACGAATGGGGAGCTGGAGCTACATGCACGGCCCCTGTTGCAAGCTCTGCCCCACTCTAGGTTGGAAGGACTGCCCACCTGGGATGGAAGGGTGAGGGTCAGACTGGGAGACAGGTATTCTGAACCAGAGAGTGTTCCCAGGAGTGCAGTTTGATGCTGTGTATCTTCAGGCAAGTGGTTTTGCACTGAGCCCCCATTTCCTTCCACAGGACAAACCTCATTTAATCCATAGACCCATTATTAATATTGCTATCCAGCCTAACAACCCTCCAAAATCACTCATTTGGGCCTTGGAATTTTATCTACACTCCTTCCCCAAGGCCCTCGTGGTTTCCCTGACCTCCTCTCCGCACTCTTGGTTCACTCAAATCCAGAAACACACTGGTTTTTTTGTTTTTGCTGTTCTTTAATAGGCTGATCTTGTTCTGGCCACAGGAACTTTGCACGTGCTGTTTGTTCCCTCTTGCCCAGAACGTTGTTTTCTCAGAGCCTGGCTTTAAAACTGAAAACTCGCATCATTAAAGGTCCACGTTTCCAATCCATTCTCCAAAGCCCTCCCCTGCCCCATCACTACCACTTTGACCGGTTTTGTTTTGTTTTCTCTTACTAGCACTTACCACAATCTCCGAATCCTGTCTGCTTGTTTATTGTCTGTCTGCCACGGTCCGGGCAGTGTCTCCAGGGCTAGGTTGTTGAGCATTTCGTAAATGAATTAATGAAGCGTCTGCTCTGCCCACCCCACCCCTGCGGCTTCTCAGCCTGTGTTTTTCTCTGCCGCTCTGGGGGGCTTCAAGATCCGAAGCCAGCTAGACCCCCTCCGGGCGCACCAGCCGCCCTCCCACCCGTCCCAGCTGCGGGGGAGGGCGTCCCGCGAGAGGGCGGCGGCGCCCGGCAGCCCGAGCAGCCGCCCCGGCAGGACCAGACCTGGCAGTCGCCCTGCGCCCTGCTCCCAACCTGGCACCCGGGAGGGGAAATTGGCAGGCGGGCGCCGCCCTTCCTGGCGGGGGTGGGGGGGTACCGCGGCGGCGGCGGCGGCGGCGCGAAGGCTGCAGCAACCCCCCGCCGGGGTCAGGTCAGACGGAGCGCGCGTGGGCGCGGCGGGGCCCCGACGCCGACCCGATGGGGCGGGCTCCGGGCTGGCTCCGGGACCCAGGAGCTTGGCCCTCCCACCGCGGACGCTCTGGACCCAGGCCTGGGGCTTTCCGGGCCCCGGCAGCCGCCTGCCTGGGAAAATCCCGGCCCCCTTCCCGGCGCCGCAGCCCTGCCCGGCAGAGCGGGGGAGGGGATTCCCGGAATCTGCCCGGAGACCGCCGGCGCGTCACTGGACAGAATCGGCCCATGTAGGGGCAGCGCTTCCGCTGCGTCAGCGGGGAAAGCCCCAGCGCGCGCAGCTGGGCGGGGCTGCGCCCGCGCACTGCGCGTCTCGCCCCAGGCCTCCTGCCCCCTGGTGATGCGCGGCTGGACCGCGTACCCGCCCTGGCCCTTCCAACCCCGGGGGGGAGGGGGCCAGAGAAGGGTCGGCCGCCCGCACTAGGGCTGCAAGATGCTTAGGTGGAGCTGGCGAGGAGGACACGGACACTGGAGCGAGTCACAAGCAGGAGTGGGGTGGGGGCAGCCCACTATTCTCCTCCCTCCTCCCGCCCGGCTTGGAAAAAAAGACAACAAATTAATAAAGAACCATTTTTTTTTTTACTTAAATAGATTCAATAAAAAGTCGGAACAACAAACACACACACACACAAACACATCTTAAAATAAACTCTTTAGGGACCGAGTGCGTGTTTCTTATCCACAGTACGATGCAGAGGGGGGAGGGCAGGGGGCGGGGGTCCCTTCCCCAGTGTCCCCGCGGGCTTGAGTACCGGGCGGCGGGGCCAGCTCCGCCGCGATCGCCCCCTCCTCCCCTCCCTGTTAAATACACAAATATATTATATTCAATATGAATCGAGTCTGTTTCCAGCAGAAAAAAAAAAACATACAAAAAAAAAACGCGAAAGGGGGGCTTGTAAACGTCGAAGTGGAAGGACTGGACGCAGAGCGGGCGGGCAGGAGTCCAGTGTGGTTTGCGGTGCCCCGGGGGCCGGTGCCCACCGCCTGCCCCCTCGCCCCTTGGGAGGCGTGCGCCCAGTCGTCCAGACTGGGGGAATGTCCGTATGGGGGGGCGTTCAGAAGGCGTGTCCCTTGACCCCGAGCAGCAGCTGGCAGCCGTTGCTGACGTGGGTCATGACCTTCTGTTTGAGCTGGGCCACCTGCTCCCGGAGGAGCCCAGCAGTGCTCGACAGCCCCGCGTTCTCGGCCTTGAGTGTCTTCACCTTGTCCTCCAGGCGCGCGATGCGCTCCAGCTTCCGCTTCCGGCACTTGGTGGCCGCCAGCCGGTTCCGCAGCCTCTTGCGCTCCACTTTGATGCGCTCCTGGTCTTCCATATTGATGGGGGACACTGGTGGCGTGGCGTCGCGGCTGCGCGCCTCAGGCACGGTCTGCGGTTCCTCCTTGAAGGTGGAGGCTCCTCGGCCCAGGCCCAGTTGCGCCGGGTGGCCGCCAGCGAAGGGTGGCGCGTGTGGGAGGTAGCTGATGGTGGCCGTCGGGTACGAGCTCCCAGTCCCGACGGCGGCCCCGGCGCCTCCAGAGGGCGCAGAGGCTGGGGAATAGCTGTTGAGGTTGGTGTAGACTGGAGGTGGCTCCGGGCCGGCGTAGACGCCCCCGGGCCCAGCCGGGGGCCCCGAGCTGGCGCCCAGGGACACGTTGGGGGGCGTCACGTGGTTCATCTTGTGCAGGTCGTCCAGGGCTTTGACAAAGCCGTCTGCGAAGCCCTCCTGCTCCTCGGTGACACCGCCCCCGGCGCCCCCCGCACCTCCGCCGCTGCCTCCCCCGCGGGGGTAAAAGTACTGTCCCGGGGGCGTGGGTGTCGTCGTGATCACTCCGTTGCTGTTGGGGACGATCAGGCGCTCCAGCTCCGATGAGGCAAGCTTGAGCGACGCGCCTGTGTCCGAACCCTGGCCGGAAAAGTAGCTGCTGCCACCGCTGCCCTCTGGTCCCGGGCCCCGCGCCCCGGGGGCTTTGAGACTTCGGTAGGGGTCGGCCAGGTTGAGCGCCAGGCTGGGTTTCAGGAGTTTGTAGTCGTGTAGAGAAAGGCCGCCCGGAGCCCGGCCGTATCCCGCCGCTGCGTATGAGTCGTCGTGGTAGAAGGGCTGTTCCATTTTAGTGCACATCCGGGCGGCCCAGGCGGTCTGGGGGGGTCCCTGCGGGGCCGCCCCGGGCCTCGCTGCGGCGAGCGGCGCTCTGTCCGCGACGGTGGCTGGACTGGGTATCTGGACGCGCGTTCCCAGGAGCTGGCACCGGCCGGGAGAGGCCAGCCGGCGGCGGTGCGCGGAAGCTCCGTGCGGCTTCTCGAGCCCTTCGGCCCCTGTCTGGCGCGCTCGCTTTCCTGGTGTCGCTTCCCCCTGCTCCCCGCTCCCTGCTGACTCCGGTGCTGGCCTGGCCGCGCTCAAGGTCCCGGCAGCTCAGGCTGAGCCACACGCCTTTATACGGCTATTGTCAGCTACGGAAGTGCGCTCCGATTGGCCGTCGCGCGAGCCGGGCCCCGCGCCCCCCTCCTCCAGCGTGGGGAAGGGGAGGAGGCGGCTCGCGTCACTGTCAGGAAGCGCGTGTCCTTGTAAACAGCGGCCACGGGCTGGGTGGCTTGGCGCGGCTGCAGGGGGATGGGCTCAGGGGACCCCGGGGTGCGCGAAGAAAGGGGTGCTGGTCCGAGATACACGAGGAGGGACTCCAGGGAAGGCATTGATTCCCCTGGATGCGAGGAACTGTTACAAAGCAAGTGTGTGTGTGTGTGTGTGTGTGTGTGTGGTGTGTGTGTGTGTGTGTGTTGGGGCGGAGGGCGGGGGTGGTCTCCAGGGTGTACACAAAAGGCCTGAGGGACTCGGAGTATTCGAGGGGGGTTGAAGGGCTGATTATATACACAGGGAGACCCCACAAAGGTGAGACAGGAGTATCAACCAGAGTAAATGAGGGAGGGGTAAGGTAATGTGTGGGGGTCCTGAGTACAGAGGGGTTAAAGGACTTGAATTTTAATAGAGGGACTGAACCCAGGAAAAGTGAGGAGGGGGCGGGGAATCAAAACTGCAAAAGGAGGGGATGGAGGATCCATTATGCAAAAAATGAGTAGGGGTCCTGAAGTCCATGGGAGAGACTGAGGGCCTCCATAAGGGGAATCTAGTTATGTAGAAAGTGAGGGCTCCGGGGTATACCGAGTCTGGGAAAATATGGGGGGGGGGG